TAACGGTAACTACCCACCTGAAACTACCCTAGACCAAGACCATTGACTGAAGGAGCCCGAGAATGAAGGTCGGATTGAGAGTCCAAGCCGACTGACGATGCCTGGCTCACGCGAAGAACTCACAAAAGCCAGAGGCGCATGCTCTTCCCAGGCATACTACACAAGCCAAAATCGCAGTAATGGTCATCCTTGTCGATGTACCCATAGGCCCCATAGTTGTTCNNCCTTTTGGGGTTACTTTATAGGATTCTGAATATGAACCCCAAAAAGGAACTACTATGGGGCCTATGGGTAGTTGCTATCAGGAGGTTCCTTTGTATCAATGGTGCTATGCCGTAGCTCATGCGGAGCAGAAGGCGTAAGGGTTGAGGGTTTTGGGGACTCAAAGTCGTATACCTTAGCCTTAACCTACCAAAACCCACTTTTTTGTAGGTTCTTATTATAAACCCTAATATGGGATTTATAGGGACCCTAAAAAAAAGTAGGTTCTGGTAGGTTAAGGTAGGTCCTATAACTTTAGGGTTTAGGGTTTAGGGTTCTTCTAACTTTAGAACCCCCAACCTCTCAGGACCTACCAAAAGAGCTTCTTAGGCCCGGGGCCAGGGAAGTGGATCGGCTGGTGTCGAACTTCCTTCACTCGGAGGTCTTCTTGAAGACCGTGGGCGTCAGAAGAGAGAGGATTGGGCTTTTGCTTGGCTTCGTTTGTCTGCCTTTTGAGGGGCCCCTTTCTGCTGGGCAGGTACCTTGCCCCCCTTCAGGAAAGAGAGCTCAAGAGCCTACTCAGTCAGGCTTGTTCCATCTTGTTCCGGGGTTTACCTATAGTCTCCATTGTAGTTCCTTTTTTTTTGGTGTTACCTTATAGGATCCTAAATATAAACTTGGTTAAACCAAAAAAAGGAACTACAATGGAGACTATAGGTAGGATTGCGGGGTTGGTGCCGCAGGTTTGCGAAAGAAGCTTAGGTCTTTCTGTGGTTTGGGCTGCTTCAGGCCTCTCCGACACAGAGGCGAAACTCCACAAAGGTAGTGCTCTCCAGATAGAATACCGCCAAGTCTAAACGCACAACCCTTCCCTTTCAAGATTCAAGCTGGATTTCGGATGAACTCAGAGTTTCTGGCTTGAGGAGCTCATTCGACAAACAGCTCATGATCCAGGCTGCGTGTTCAAGGTTTATCGAGCATCCAGCCGCTGCACCGGCCAGCGACAGGCATCAGCATTGGCTGGCACAATGGCTAGCAGAAGAACCCAGCCGACAGTCTGGCAAGCATCACCAGCATCAGCTGACACTGTCTGCTAGCAGAACCCAGCCGCCGCAACAGGCTGTCAGCAAGCATCACCATCATCAGCTAGCATTTTGCGGGCAGAATCTAGCCGTGGCAAAAGCCGCCAGCAAGCATCATCATCATTTGCTCGAAGAACCCAGCCGCCAGCATCAGCTGGCACTTCGCTTGACAAAGTCAGCCGCTGCACCCGTCACCGGCAAGCATCATCAGCATCAGCTGGCAGCTTGCTGGCAGAATCTAGCCGCGGCAGCAGCCGCCAGCACGCATCCTCAGAATCAGTGGGCAGTTTGCTAGCGGGATCAAGCCGCCACAACAAGCAGTTCGAAAGCATCGTGGCATCACCAGCATCAGCTGGCAATGTGCCAGCAAAACCCAGCCGCCACAACAGGCCCACGACAACCATCATCAGCGTCAGCTGGCAGTTTGCTAGCAGATCGCAGCCGCGGCAAAGGCAACAGCAAGCATCATCAGCATGAGTTGGCACTTTCTGCCAGCAGAACCCAGCCGCCACAACTGGCAGTTGGAAGGCATCGCCAGCATCAGCTGGCACTTCGCAAGAAACGCTCAGCCGCTGCACCGGCCGGCGACAAGCAGCACAGGCCAACAGCAAGCATCATCAGCAGCTGGCCGTTTCTGCCAACAGAACCCAGCCGCCGCAACACCGGCCAGCGGCAAGCACCATCAGCATCAGCTGACAGTTTGCTAGCAGAATCCAGCTGCGGCAAAAACTACTAGCAAGCATCATCAGCATTTGCTCGCAGAACTCAGCCGCTGCGCCCGTCGCCGGCAAGCATCATCAGCATCAGCTGGCAGTTTGCTACCAGAACCCTTCCGTGGCAAAATCGTCAGCTTCCACTGGCACTTTGCTAGCAAAAACCAGCCGCCGCGACAGGCAGTTGGAAACCATCACCAGCATCAGCTGGCGCTTGAAAAGGAGAAGCATCATCAGCGTCGGCTGGCAGCTTGCTAGCAGAACCCAGCCGTGGCACAAGCCAACAGCAAGCATCATCAGCATGAGCTGGCACTTTCTGACAGCAGAACCCGGCGACAGACTGCCAGCAAGGATAACCAGCAGCAGCTAGCATTTTGCTGGCAGAATGCAACCACACTGCGCAGGCCAGCGGCAAGCATCATCAGCATCAGTTGGCACTATGCTGGCCAAACTCAGCTGCTCTACAGCTCTGTCGGCAAGCTTCCTCAGCATCAACTGGCGACTTGCTAGCAGAACCCAGCCGCACTGGTGCAACGGTAGGCATCATCGGCATCAGCTTGCAGATTCCACCCCATGCACAAGTGGTTGCCAAACCCAGGCTACTCGGCGAGCATCGGCAGAGTCAGCTGACACTTCTGGGACTTTTTATTGTAAAGAGTGTGAGGAACGAGGATGAACATAGTCATGAAGAAAGCTGTGCGTGTTGTCCGGCTTGAGAGTATCAACGAACATGTAAGGCTTTGCGTACGAAATCGATAATGTATGAAACTGATAAAGAACACTTGCACTTCCAAACCGAAACAAGGTAGGATCGGCATGTAAAGATCCCGAAAGAAGGAGCAGTTTCAAAATCAGGTTTTTACATTACCACCCTGATGAAACCCTTCCGGAACCCAGAAACCCTGCAAGAATCAGCTCATTGGTTTCAGTTTGTGACATGTGAGCACAGGAATCCCTAAGCCCAGGTCCCATCAGGCCTCGGCAGCTGCTGACTCAGAACGCGCTGAAGGCCTGAGGGAGAATGCGATGCTCATATT